TTGGAAAAGTTGCCTGAAAGCGAGAAGGTGACAAGGCTGTAGACATGTTTGAATGTAGTGTGCATTTAGAGAACGCCTGATCCAACATGTTTTACATTAAATTTTGTTGCTCACGCAACATGAGGTTTTTCTGCTCACGCCACATGTTTTGCATGACCAAAATTTGCTGATTGTTCAATTGTTGAACATAAGACACCCAATCGGTAGGTACTTGTGGTGCTTCCCCTGCATTCGGCATAGCAGGTGGTGAAATTGTTTCTCCCACCGGTGTTGAAGACGCTTGAGGTTGTGAACCTGCTATATGGATCCTTCTGATGATTCGGCCAGACCTCAATCGTATAAAATTCTCTGTTGACGTAGGATCAGCAATCTTGCCTTTCTCCCACTGTGGTCGCCAATTTTTTGATGTATTTTTTCAACAATAAAAAGTAAAATCCGAAAATAGGAAATTATCTTCGAATTTGATATAATTAGTGCCTGAGATTAGGAATCTCTAAACACTGTACGGTACAGAAATAAACTGGAAAATAAAAGACTGAAAATTAAAGGATGATCCCCAAAATCACTGACTTTGTTGTCGTTTGAAGATGATTGAAGATCATTTTTCAGAACAGACCCGAATCCTTAAATATTCCTTCAAGAAAACGTTTCAGAACCATCGTCTGGTTGGTTACAACAACCGGCCACCAATTCCTCCTTTATTGACACGAGTCTTTAACCGTCTCGCCAAACGCTTCCACCAGTTCCAGAACTCAACTGGCCCGACCGACCGCCTCTGGGCGCGTTACTTCTTTAAATGGATGGCTAGTCCCGAACGAATGCTCCAAAACGCGCAGCATGTTTTAGGCACACTGCTAGCCGACCGACTTACCCAAAAGCATAACCCAACGATTGACCAACCGACCATTCCAGAGACTAACTGGTCGCTAGACCAAACGAATCCTTAGCCGCCCCACCAAGCGACCACCATCTAGTCTCTTGTCCGACCTCGTATCATCCGTCTCATTCTTCTTCGCCCGACCTCACTTGGTCCGACCTGCATAATAACCGTCCTTCTTTGCCCGACTTCCTCTTTCAACCGACCGCCGTATCAGCCGTCCTTCTTCACCCGACTTACTCTTTCGACTGGCTGCCGTATCAGCCGTCCTTCTTCGTCCGACCTCAGTTGGTCCGACCGCGGGCAAACCGACTACGGACTATCTGACTGCGAACCATCCGACAGCGAACCAACCGACCGGCTCTGTTTGGCTTATCTCCTTAGATGGACAACTGGTTCAACAGACTATCCTCTTGACAGACCTCCGCGTCTGCCGATACTTCTTCCTTGCCCGACCTTCGTCTTGACAGACCTCCGCGTCTGCTGATACTTCTTCTTTGCCCGACTTTCGCGTCTGTCGATACTTCTGCTTTGCCTGACCTTATCATGTCCGATCTCCGTGCTCGACCTTGTCCTGTCCGACCTCCGTGTCTGACCTGCCTATCCGACCGATGACCAACCGATCCACCTGTCCGACCGCGGACCTTCCGACCTGCTTATCCGACTGCGGACCAATTGACCGGATCAACCGACCGCGGACCAACCGACCTGAGTGCATATTTTCTCCTTTTCCGCCCGACTTCGTGTCTTAACTTCCTTTAAGATCCTACTACCATTATTATTATTATTATTATTATTATTATTATTATTATTATTTGTGCGTAACAATTATATTGATAGTTGGTAAAAAATATGAGTAAAAGATTTTTTGCCCTTGTGAGTGTATTAGTGTAAAAGTAGTGGTATTTGTATAATAATAATGAAAAAGTAGGGTAAGTTTTATGGTGATATGAGTATTTATGGAAATGAAACTATTATTTTGAAACGAACAAAAATTGTAAACAAGACTATTATATTAAAACGAATGGAGTATTTATTAAAAAAATAAGAAATATTGATGTAATATATATAACAGATATTTGAGTAACACATTATATAATTATATAGTAAAATAAATCTTGATTTTAGCAATATATATTATGATTTCATCGTAAATATAATTTGATCCAATCAGCAAATGTCCATAAAGAAAGTAGTAAATATTAGTATAATATACAACACATTATATAACACAAGTTAAATAATTTTTGGAGGTAAAAGATCAATTTTCTGGTTTTAAACCTAATTTTTTTTTAAAAAAATTTCCTCCAATTTCCTGAACCAGCCGCCCGCTTCTTCCTCTCGTTTCTTTCCGAACCGAACCGCCGTTGCTCAGTCGCCGCCACCCCGATCTCCTCTGCACAGCCACCAGCCTCGGTCGCCAAGAACTGCGCAACTTCCTTCTTTGCATCCACAACCGACCGGCCACCGCTGCACAGAATCACCCAGCCGCCTCGCACGGCTGCGCTGACCGCCAACCACTCCTCCGCCCAGCGTCTTGCTAAAGCAATCGAATTTTCCTTCTCTCATGATACGTTATATTCTTGATTAAGAACTTATTTCTTTGAATTTTTTTTCCAGGATGACGAAGAAATAGGCACCAAACCAGGCTCCGAATTCAAAGAAGCCTTCGTGCACCCCTGTTCATTGCATTCCGGCAGCAATTGCACCTCCAAAGGGTTGCTTGTGAGATGGAACCTTTGGATTCGGCCACTCTAAAGAAAATGCACATTTTGCCGGCGCTCGAACCTGCTACACATTCAGAGATCTCACATGATCGTGTGTTTATGCTCGCCTTGACTCCATAGAGGCTGAACTGCAAGCCTTACGACATGACCTTGGACTTGTTTTGAGGTCCATGTCTTGCCAATCTACCCATTAGAAGCATGCATCCTCCAGCACCGTAATTCAGGGCCCCTTATTTTATGTGCTTTATTTTTCTCTTTGTTTTATATTGAGGACAATGTCTAGCTTAGGTGTGGATGGAGTTTTTTATGCCATTTGCATGTTGCCTTATGTGTAGATAGACTTTTATGTGCATTGTTGCTTGTGCGGGAATTTTTGTTGATTTTTCGATGAATTTAGGTTTAGATTGTGCCAAGTTTGAATACCTATGTGAGTTTTGACCCTATATAAGCATTCATTTTAAATGCTTTTTATTCCTTGATGGTGTGAATATTGCTTTTGGATTTGGTTGCTAGAACTTACGTAGTTATGCATGTTGAACACGATTCAAAGAGTCGATGCGATTAATATGATAAGGGCACAATAGGATTACCCCACTTGGCCTATATATTTCCTACCCCTCATCTATTGCCTAGTGAACCGTTTTGATGTCTGGGATTTCTTTGAGAGATTAGTTCTTGGTTTAGATTAAGGTGGTTTATTTTGAATGTGAAATTGAAAATGCATATGCGATATGATGAACTTAATATGTATTGTTGATACTTAGTCGTTATATCCTATTTTCTACCCCAACCAAAAGCTCTGTTACAACCCTTAAAAAGACCATTTGATTTTTGTATTTGATTCTTATAATAATCGAGGAAGACTTGATTTCTATGCAAGCCTATGGACTAATCATTTTCCATTATGAAAGTCGAGTAATAATTAGCTTCTTTTTTATTAGAGTGTTGAGTGCATACACTTTTCCCTTGTGATGTTAGTTGAATTTGGCATGATCCGGACTTGATGAAGTTAGCATTGAGATATGATTTTCGTGTTTGGTATGGTGTTACATGTTTAGTTTTATGCATATTTTGTAACATGCTTGAGGGCAAGCATAGTTTAGGTGTAGGGGGATTGATAAACTTATTGTTGATGTAACTTTTTGTACATTAATTGCGCGTATTGACTTTAAGTATGCATAGTTCCTATTGATTTTTGGCCTAATTTGATATTGTGTTAGGAAAGGAATAGATTGAAGATTTTTGCAAAAAAAATCAGATTATCACTTTGATTTAAGCATGCTCATGCCTAGAGAGAGTTTGATAAGCCAAGACTTGAAGGATAAAATTGAAATTTCGCATCAAGAGGAATTTTGGATAGAGCCAAAAAAAAGATATATTTAAAAAACCTATTATGGGGGTTGCACGGCGTTTCACTTGACAAAAGGAGAAAGAATCATCTTGGCAAGAAAGCAAGAACGCGAGTGATGGCTGGAGTGATCAAGACGGCTGCACAACTTTTCTTCGTCTTCTTCAAGTAGAATGTATTTGTTTTCGATTTCTAGTCATGTTTAATAGCTAATTTCTTACTCTAGTCTAAGGTTGGATTGAATTCTTGGATTATGGCTTTGTGAGATAATTTTGGTTTTAATCAAATCTTTCAATTAATTGGTATTAGTGCGATTTCTATGTACCATGGTTACAATGATTATATGCGATTTATTATTGTGGCCAACTTTTAAGTCTGTCTATTGATTGCACGCTAATTGAATAAATACATCCGTAATTGTGTATTTATTCAATAAAGTAGTAAATAAGTTAACACGCTTAGCCTAAGAATTGCATGATCGAATAGAAAATCTTTTGTAATTGATTGAATATTCGAATTAGGTTTTTCTTGTGTTATTTTCAATTGAAGAATTTCTACTATGGTCATACCTAGTTTAGTTCTTTTGATTAGAGAGTGGTCAATTGGTCGTACCTTTTCCACCGACAAAGTTAAAAAAATATTGGGTGTTTGATCGTATCGAATACCTATAACTAATTTATCAATAGATGAATTAGCTTACTTAATTCAATGATCAAATCCATTATCTAATTTTTCATCCAACCCTTTGACTATAGCGTTCTACTTCTTGTTAAATTCGTTCTTATTTATTTCTTTAATTGATTGATTTTTTTACTTGGTTTAATTAATTTTCTTAGGATAACTATTTTAATTCTTGATTGAAAACCCCTTATTATAAATAACTAATCAACTAAAGAAACACAATCGCAGTATCGACCATGTTTTTATTATTCTACAATTGATTAAGAAACCTGTAATATTTGACTGACAGTTCACGCCTGTCAGTTCCCTATTTCCTTGCCGGAAAAGGTCGCCGGGGTTGAAAGCGGTGCTGCCGTTAAGACATAAAATGATGAAATTTGGGCAAAATTAAGGTGTGTCCCTAATTCGGAGGAAGAGCACGATGAAGATGTGTTCTCAACTCCCTCCCGATTCCGTGTACCCTCGCATTCATATCCCTTTTGAGGATGTCGGTGAGATCTATTTTAATCTTTTACTCTTGTGGTGCCTCTGTGTGGCTTTGACTGCTTTATGTGAACTAATATATACCATCACTAAAAGAATATATTTCATATCATGGTTGTTTAAGTTTTCGACCATGAATTTTCTTAATTTGGCATAAATGTATTGTTACATACTCTTATATATGCTCTATTATTGTTGGGTTTGGAGTAGTGATCAACGTTTTATGTTGAAAATTGAAAACACCCTTGTATATTGATATGTGCATTGTTCAACCTTGAATTTGCTTTCGATTAGCGACATATACTCACTGTAAACATGTTTCACCAATTTCCCCCAATTTGTTTAAGTACCAAATTGAGTAAATCTGGAGAAACAAACATTTCATCAAATTTCATTTGATTAGGCAATGATTGTACGGTATTTACAACTGCATTTGTGTGATCATTTCCAGAATATAAAAAATCAAAATGATTTACAGCGTTAATATTCTCAAAAGGATTTTCAACTACAAGTTTCTAACTTTAATAACCTAAATTACTCATTTCACCTCTCTTTTTTTCAATGAGATAGTGAATGCACTGATGAACTAAATCCATTGGAACTGTTAGCTAATTTGGGAGACTTCTACTCCTAAATAACTATTTTTTTTTTTAATGTAGAACCTTGTAGCAATTATCTCCTTTTAATTTCATTACTCCAATCATACAACTTTTTAAACTTAAGCATACATTGTTTAATGTTTCGGTTGTCAACTGATTGAAACTTGTTTGGACAACATCTACAAGCTCATCCACATTCTTGCATGCTTTTTCGGTTTGCAAACTTTGAATTGCTCGAAACTATTCTAAATCATTCACATTCATATCGGGTGAATTAGGTGGTTGTTGAGTAAGAACAATATTGAAACCATTTGTTGTTGTTGCATGTGAAAGTCCGCGTCATCTCCCTTTATGTGGAGTTTTAGCGTTGTCTTGTTGGATGAATAAAATTTTTGAAAAACTTTATGACCACTTTCTTTAATGTTCGGGATGACATGCCCCCCCCCCCCCCAAAAAAAAAGACAATTACATATTTGTTTGTTGTAAATATCAGTCTAATGTGATGCAACATTAAAGAAAGAAAACATTGGGTCTTCTACTTTAAATCATAGAGTATAAGACTTCCATATTAAGTTTTCTTACATTTAATGTCTTTGAAAATATTAATTATGGCTAATCTGATTAATTAAACAACTTTTTATAACATCTTTTGTTACATAATGCATTGATTTTGTTTCCAATGTGTCTGTCAATCGATTTTTGCTAGACCTAACAACTGGAACTTTTTTAGTAAATAGGAAAATTCGAATTTTCCCATTAAACAATAATTTCCCATCATTATCCCAGATAGGACGAGATACTGTACACATGAACATGATCTTTGTAATAAACTTTTTTCTTTTGCATGATCTATGTGGTTTATTTTCTAGTGGTGTCAACTAAAATCGATGACTAACTTTTGACATGTAAAACCATTTCTCATCAATATGAATTATGTTATGCATGCTCTTAAATTCTGAATTTTCAATGCATCGGAAAACATCAACCATTGTAAGGAAAAGTTTAACCATGCGTGTTTGTTTGCCTCGGTAAATTCTAGCTTAATTGCATTTGTATGAGATCTGATTTGCTTCTCTTTTACCCATCCGTGTATTGTTAATTTTTAGCATTTCATCCCTTTTGCTAGAGTTCTTATGGAAGAACGTGGTAGCACATATAACTTCTCGATTGCTTCAAAATCAGGTTTGATTTTATCGTTCCTCTCACTTCCTTTTTTTCTTTGGACACTAAAATCCTCACCTTTTGATATTTTTTGTTGTGCAGATTTCCATCACCTAGCAACGGTCTTGGTGTATATTTTAAACCTCTTGGCAGCTTTCAAGAAACGTACCTTTAATCAGCTCTCTGAATGGATCGCACCTTCCCAAAATAAATTCGACAAGTTTGTGGTGCTCATTTGTTGTAAGGTGTTTATTTGCCATCTTTTTAGTGTAGTAGCTGTGTATGAAGAGAAATAAATAAGGTTGTATGAATAGAAATTAATGGCGTATTTATAGCTGTGATTTATGTGTTGTTTATCAGGAGGAAAATTTGATAGGAAGTTTTTGGGGGTAATTGGGTTAAATTAGGAGTGATTTTATTGGTGTTTTGGAGGGAACACGTTTAGTAGGAGAGGGAAAAGTTTCCCACTGTAATTTTTTTTTCTTAAATTAGGAAGAATCGTTGTATTATGTGGTTAATTAGGATTTTTTTAATTATTATTATATGTAATGTAGGTGGTGAATTAGAACATATATTATGTAAAAGTTTCATTAAATTTTTGTATTTTTATTGTATTTAATTTTATTATATGTAATGAATTGTACATGCATTGTTAATTATGTAATTAACCTACTACATATATTTACCTAATTACATTAAATGAATAAAACACTAGGATGTGTTTGATTTTGATTTGAGTTTGAGATTTAATTCTATATTTAGTTTAAATAGTATTTTGATATGATATTTTATGAATGCAAAATATATATTTCATTCGTCTCATTTAAAAGTATCACTTTTCTATTTTAGTAAAAGTAATCACACATGATGACTCCAAATATGAGTATATTCTCCGCTTAACAAAACTTTGTATTACTTGAATTTCTATATATAAATTATCACAATATCTGATTTTGGCATACTTTATTCATCTATCCCGCTTGGCATGATCCATAATTGGTTTGTTGAGATTATTAACAATTTTTACCCTTTTAAGAGGTGATTCAGGTCTAGAAAAGCTAAGGCATGAAAAGCAACCGACAACCGCATCAGCTCCACCAGCGAAGACATCATCGCTCATGCCAGCGACCCAGACACTCACCGCAGCAGAGCGACGACAACTCACTGAAATTAATGCCTAAGTGTCCAACCCGCAACGGATCAGCCATTCCATTACCAGCCAGTATAGATGACGTCGTTCAGCTGCGGTGATGCCCTCCAACCATCTGGGTGACCGAGGAAGATCTGTGCCTTACAAGTCGAAGCAAGCGAAGCGAGCACCCTGGAAGTTACGGCCAGCAACTGCTCCAACAGAATAACTACCGCCAACTGCCTAACTGCCCAGCAGTTGGAACCACGTCTTAGCTGCTTGCAACTACCACTTTCATTAGCTATAAATAGGGCCAGATATTCATTTGTAAAAGATACTTCGAGAGGAGTATACAAGCACTCTTTTTTACGTGCATTCTTAGTTGTCTTCCTGCCTCCAGAGAGCTCCAACTCTGTAAGGGAGTTCTCAGCAGAAATGGCCAAGGGAGTTGAGATCTCTCTTCTCCCTTGGCCGCACTTTACTGCTTACTTAGTTCTAATTTATCGCTTTAAGTTACAGTTTTCGTAGCAATAGAACTTTACTGTTTTGGTAGTAAGTAATGAAATATCATTTGTTCTTCGTCATCACATATTCCATATTTTCACACTTATATAAACTTTAGTTGTAAGGAACTCTAGGTCGCTGAGAAAGAACGCAGAAAAATTGATTATCCAAGTCTTGTCTCTTTGTCACAAACAAATTCAAGGTAATTCAATGTAGTTAACTACGCGGGAGCCTTGTCGACCTGCTTAATTACTGGTCTAAATTCAATTTTGATTAAAAATAGGTAACAGGAGGGTAAAACCACTAATGAAACAGAAATTGAGATAATTAACGGGGCATAGGCGGTGGTCTATTGGGTCACAGAAATTCCTAGTGACAGTAGGGTTTCTTTCATATAATATTATGATTCTGGACGTCATTGAAGTCTTGTTGTAACTCCCTTAAGGTCAAGTACCAGTGATCAAAGTTCCTTATAATATAGTTTATATAATTACATTACTCTCTCTTACCGCTTTCGCATTATACATGTATGTTTCGATTAAAGACCAGCATTACTCGCTCATTTCATCCGAGACAATCTAGCCATTAAGGAACGCACAATTCAGACACAACACCTCTCTATCACCCTCTCCTGCTCAATCTATATAAATATATTGTGCCGCTCCTCTCATGCCCCTCTCGCTCACCCATCACTGGCACCAGTCCTGCTCACCACCGCTCCACTCACCCCCACTCACTTTCACCGTTTTCTTTAGTTTTCCAGCTATCTGTAGTTTTAGATCCAGGCTCGCCTTCAAGCGAGTCTCTTTATTGTTTTTTCTCCGCTTTCACTAGATTAGCACCTGATTTGATTTTGCGACTTAAAATCCCTGTGTTCGACCTGGAAACTCACCAGTTAAAAAGTATAAATAATTATAATAAACGATTCAGGGTCTACAACCACAAACTTTTGCTATATCTTATCGCTCACAATAAGCCATTACATCTAAATTTTTGACTAAAATTCCATGTATTTGAATATATATAAAAAATCGTATTGTCAATACACTAATACCAAAATACTCTTAACTTCTACTCAATTTACAAATATACCATTACACATACAATTATTTTACACATAAAGTCAAAGGACAAAATTATCAAAGCTTTTTTCATACTTTCATTAACCAATAAAATACTATTACTTTTTAATATACTACAAAACCCCAAAGGGATACATTCTTCTGAGACAAAGAAAATATAGTTTTATTGAAAATCATATTTAAATAATATAAATTTGTATCCAAAATAAGAAAAACAAAGAACCCCTAAAATGTTATACACATATTATACACATCGCATCCACGTATGTGTATTTTAGTATACGGATGCATTTTATACAACACGCTACTACGTGTACTGTAATTATTACTCATTTTACTATATATATATATGTGTGTGATAAAATGATGAAAGAGGACATACAGAATTTCACAATCAAAGCATTTATTATTGTGGCTATCATATTTCTCTCTCTCCCTCTATAATTATATATCTCTCTCCCCCTCTATAATTATATACATATATATACATCTTTATACATATATATATTTATAACCACACTTGTACATATACATACATATATATATTACACTAACCATTATATTATATTATTATTACATAATACGTTATCAGTACGAAGGCTCTTGTCTATTTTATTTTTGGTAAGTTTTATCTTTATATTATCTATTTTCTAAACTATAGAAAATCTTGCAAAATTTTCTTTTAAACCTTTGTCTCTCACCGCAATAATTTTTTGACTTGGTCCCTGGATGAAGAAATGCATCTGGTTTCTATGGACCTTGTTCATACAATTGCCAGTGAAAATACGACTACAAGCCAAGATCAGGCTAAGGCTATTATTTTCATCCGTCGTCATTTGGACATTCCTTTACAGTCCGAATATTTGACAGTGAAAGGTACACTAGATTTGTGGAATGAATTAAGGGAGAGATTTGGGCACTTGAAATATATCACTGTCCCGAAAGCCCGACATGATTGGCTTAACCTGCGGTTGCAGAATTTAAATCTGTTACAGAGTACAACTTTGTTATCCATCAGATTATATCTCAGTTAAAACTCTGCGGAGAAAATATTAATGAGAATGATAAATTAGAAAAGACTCTCTCTACCTTCCATGTTTCCAATGTTGTGCTGCAACAACAGTATCGTGAGAAAAAATTTCAAAAGTACTCAAAGCTCATTCAATGTCTTTTATTAGCTAAGCAAAATAATGAATTACTGATGAAAAATCATCAGTCCCGACCCACTGGTTACAGTCCGTTCCCTGAAGCGAACGTAACATTTTCTAAATGAGGCCAAGAACATAGTAGAGGCCGCGGACGTGGTCATGGTCGTGAGAGTCAACGCAGTCAATATACCCCTTACAATCACCGAAGTTTTGACATTAACAGGAAGTAGAGTAAACCCCAATATGGGGATATAGACGAAAAGGCTAAACAGGGAAAAGAGGCAAATCGGCATTTGTAATCGGTGTAGCAATGAAGGCCATTGGGCCAATACCTGCAGAACAGCCAAACACCTAGCCGATCTTTATCAAGCCTCACTGCAGAGGAAAAAAAGGGAAAGAGGTCGAGGTTAATCACGTTGATAACGATGACGAACCTGGTGATGATCTTCTAGATTACGACACAACGCATCTTGATATAACGGATTTTGTCGTAGATCCAACAAACCCCCAGTGACAGACATACTATGTCATTTTACATTATGCTATTTTATATTTTGTAATATTTAAATTATCACATATTACCTTTTTGTAATGCATTTTGTAATACATATATATGTCTTTATTAATACTGTGTTTATTTATATTTGAAGGTTAAATGGATGCCAATCAAAATGATCCAAATATGTGTTTCATTGACAGTGAAATGACACATACTATATTGAAACATGAAAAATATTTCTCCAATTTGAAAAGTAAAATGATGAATGTCAATACAATAAGTGGTAGTGCAAAATTAATTAAAGGCTTTGGAGAAGCCATTATATTTCTCCCTGTGGGGACGAAAATTGTGCTACAGTATGCATTGTTGGCTACTAAAGCTCAAAGAAATGTACTGAGCTTTCATGACATTCGAAAAAATGGTTATCATATTGAAACTATGAGTGATACCGATGGTGAATTTTTATAGATCACCAATATCATTGATAAAAAGAAATGCATCATTGAGAGATTACCCTCACTCTCTACTGGTTTATATTATGCTAGATTAGGTGTTTTTGAAACACACCTCACGGTAGATCAAAAGACTACCAATTTTCAAATATGGCATGATCGTCTTGGGCATCCTGGCACTATAATGATGAGGTGAATAATTGAGAATTTGCATGGCCATTCATTAAAAGGCCAAAAAATGTTAAAACTCAAATGAGTTAACATGTGTTGTCTGGACTCAGGGAAAATTGATAACCAGGCCATCGTCAGCTAAAGTAGGTATTGAATCACCTACATTTCTGGAAAGAATACACGGGGATATATGTGGACCAATAGACCCACCGTGTGGGCCATTGGATGGAATCAAATATGCAGTATTTACAGATAAATATTTTATGGTGCTTATTAATGCATCTATCAGATGGTCACATATTTGTTTATTGTCTACTTGCAATATGGCATTTGCGAGATTGCTTACCCAAATTATTAAATTACGGGTACAATTCCCCGATAATCTAATTAAGACTATACGTCTGGATAATGCTGGTGAATATACATCGAATGCATTTGATAATTATTGCATGTCGATTAGAATTAATGTAGAGCACCCAAATATGAGCATATTCTTA